ACAAAGAGAGAGAGAGGAGAGGAGAGGAGAGGAGAGAGAGAGTGAGAGAACATGGGGACAAAGAGAGAGAGATGGCGGAAGATGGAGAAGGATAAGAAATACCCAATGTATTTGACATCTTTCGCATATAGTCCACTTCACTCCAAAAGAAAATAGAATCTTTCAATTACTTCTGCCAAAGTAAACCTGAATAACTGACAGACCACATCCCGGCCATAAACCCATGCAAAATCCCGGAGGCTTCAACCTTGTCCCCATTATCGGGCTGGGAAAAGAATACACAGAAAATACCTATACATCGCCAAAATTTCATTAGTATACACATCTTCCCTATTGCCTTCATAAAGATACAGTCCCAAAATATTCCCAATCGGGGGTGGGTGTTGAACTATGACGTCACGAGCCGACGGACCAATGGCAAGCCGTTGCAGAGTGAAGCTCCGCCCCCCACGCAAGGGGATATAGCGCGCGCGTTTTCATGTACCTGTCGCTTTAGGCTTGCTGGTTTCGCTACGTCGACACAGACACACCTGACGGAGAACGGCGAGTCTGGTCTCTTAAAAAGGACCCCCTTTCACCCTCTCCTCCAAACGGTTCCTCTCGCTCGCCGCTCGCCAAGAGCAACAAGTGTGACACACACGCTACGTCTTCGAGCAACAAGTGGGTAGCGGAAAACTGCTACTCGGAGAGCTCGACCTAGGACTTTTTTCTCTCGAAAGGAGATCCTACCGAGCATCCCTTCCCCAGTCCTTAGGTAAGTGCAGGTCCTTCGGAGAGAAATATTGAAGGTAATGAGGTTCCTTGCGGAGGAATAATTGAGAGACTTCTCTACGGGTACGCGTGCAGGATTCGGGCTTAGGTTATATTTGCTCGACACATTTCTCGATATATATCAGGTAGTCTCATCGTCGGATTGTTGATCACATGTGTTCTTAAGATGTTAGGAAACGCTTGTCAAAAGAATTAATTTCATTCTAAAAAGTTTTCCGTAATGAGGTAATGTGAGTACACACGCGGCGAGTTGATTATATGAGTACCAATAAAGATTATGATAGGTCTCCGGTCGAGATGATAGTTGTGATACGGTAATGATAATGATCTTAGTAATGTTATTAGCACTGAAGGTAATAATGATAATGGCGGCTAGCGGATTAGAGAACAACACACTTTTCGGTAGATTAGATTACAGGGAGTGAAAATGTAGTGTAATATAGGGCGATATCTGACTCAATCCGCATGTGTGAAAGGTAAATAGATATCAACAGACTAACATAATGGCGCTAACGTTTCATTAGATGGTAATAACAAAACGGAATAATATTGGGGCCTCGTAGGGAAGCTAGAGTACGTAATGTACGATGGCAAACTGTGGTACGTACATGTTGGTGTATCCTCGACGTATAGGAGCAAAACGGATATAAGTTGTAGTCTGTGAATGAGATGCAGTATTTAGGATCAAGGGCAATGATTTATCTACAGGGCATTAGAAGAAAATATATGGATTTTTTATATAATATACCATTGCTTATATATATCATATCATATATATCACATTATAGTCATACTAGCTATATGAGATTAGATCATATCGTACAATCCAAACATTGCGATCTGTCAAAACAAGAACATAAACGGTGAAGATATAGAGAAATTTACTAACGAATGATCTTTAAGGAAAATATATACAGTTGCAATATATCTGGATAGAATTCGGGTAATACGAAATAAAACAATTGATTTTCTTTGAGAATTAAAGAATAAATAAAGTTTTACGATCACGGCAGGCAAGATTAAGGCTATGAATTGGAGGTTTACATGAAATAGGTGGATAGATAGAGAAAAAAAATGCGAGAGAAAGAGTTGTTATGTGGTAAAATAGATACATGGACCGAAAAATGAAATCTGCCTTTGATCAAGTATTCATGGCAATTATACAAAATAGTAAAGAAAAAATATATACACTTATGAACAGATAACTGATGAATAATGAAATAGATAGATAGATCGACCAAGATAGATCAAAGATTCTTTTCCCAAATCAGAGGATGTCAATTCGACTTAAATGATTCTAATATCTCTTATACACCAAGATAAAGCCAGGAGAGAGTCGCGCGACACCGATCTCGGGTGTTGCGCGAGACAGTCGAGCGACACACCAAAGAAACTCGGCGACTTTGTCTCTAAATGATGTAGCAATGGTTTCGAAATAATTTCTAAACATCTCCCCTACTTTGTCGCCGGATTTTTTGTCTCTCCCATATCCGTTCGGAGACATGTACATATACATATACAACCGAAACCGTATCTGAGGACTGTCGCTTGAGAGTCGCGCGCAAATCCAACAATAAAGTCGCATTAAATATTACAGGCTAAACTATCATGGTGTTCACAGAAGCCGGAGACAATTCGCTTCACTCGCTGTCTTTTTAATAAATTTGCCTAATTTTTACATAATGATTCGTACAAGACCTGAGAGAAGTAAGAGTAAATCTTGTAGAATCAAAATACCGCGCAGATAACTACTTCACATCCTCTCATGTCTTAGAAGATAGACATGCATAACATACTAAATTGGGAATGAAATACCATGATCTCGCTCCCGGCCTGATTTTTTTTTTTATGGGGTCAGATAGTGTGGCATATCATAATGTGATGTAGAAGATAAGATAGGGATAACATATCTTGCATGTTTATATTGTAAATATTAATTATGTATAAACAGACACGAGACATATATGTTACAGTACACACACCACCCACAGGCACACACACACGACACACAACACACAAACACAAGGAGATGCAGGGTTGGGATTTGAAATGTCTATCTAGCTGGTTATTTATTTATCCACTCTTTCTATCTATCTATCTTTATATCTATCTATCTTAGTTATTATGATAATATTGTGGCGATCAGGTCGCTATTCATATAGACATGATGTGTAATCGAGATGCGCCATTTCAGTGTGTATCCAAAAATACCTTACAGCTCTGTCAAGTAAAGTGCTATGTTATTTTGTAATACATTATTTATGTTTTAACCTTGAACATAAAGCGGTGCGTCTCTTAAGGTATTATATCTTCAGTCTCAAAGGATGGCCGACGATATGAATTCCGTTCTATTTGTATGTATTATGTACGTATTTACATGTATGCAACATGCCTTAGGCGCCTATTATAGTATACCTAATGTTCGATTTGCATTGCCTTACCTCAGACACTTCACAAGTATTAATTGTCCGTTCCGTGAGACG